TCTGTCTTTTCTTGTAACTTCCTCGGTAGCCCTAAACCTTGACCTCCTGTATACTCTCCAAAATTCCTAGCTTAAGTGATAGAAACACATTCGGAAAAAAAAAAAAAGAAAGAAAGAAAGAAACACATTCGAGCACCTGCACCAATTCTGTGTTCTGAATTTTATTGGGTTGGGTTTTTTTTAAGTGGAAATCAGGTGTTTCCACAACTCAGGAAAGGAGACCTCTCTGTGCTGGCATTGTGAGGTAGCTGTCCTCAAATCTAGTGGAAGGGAAGTTTGTGTTTGCCAAAGCTTGGGGTGTTTATTTTCCTTTAGAGTTTGGAGATTTTTCTTATTTTCACTGAGCTAAGGGCAGGAATGAACTGTTAGAGTCATGTTTACCTTCTCAGCTGGACGAGAAAAGTGCAGAGTAGCAGTGGAAGACATAATCGATGAGGAAGTGGAGACAGAACCACACTAGTGCGTCAAGGTTAAACCAACCTGAGTGCTGTCAGGTGAACTGTGGCCATGGTGGCCAGTGTGTGTCAGTGCGGAGCTGTGTCCACCCCGTGGGACTTTAATGGCTCATCCCTGTGAAACAGAGCGAGCAGGACTTTCTCCTCAGGAGGCTGTGAGTGGGCTTCAGCCTCCAAGCACTCCGTTAGCAACCGAGTTCATCCCTGAACCATCTGGGACTCCTGATGTCACTTAGGGACAATAGTATTGAGTTTACCCAGCAGCAGGGTGAGTAGACATCAAGGATGTCAGCTTGCAGATGCACCTAACCCAAGCTGTGGTGTTTGCTTTGCTTTTGAACACATGTGAAAGTTGGACAATGAACAGAGAAGACAGAAGAATTGATGCCTCTGACTTTAAATGCCAGCAGAATTGTTGAATATCCCATTTACTGCCAAAAGGAAAACACATATGTCTCAGAGGAATTGTAACGATGGTGCTCCTTAGAGGCAAGGATGGTGAAGCTTCATCTCACACACTTTTAGCAAGTTGTCAGGTGATGTCAGTTCTTGGGGAAAAAAACCATCATGCAGAGTCAGTGAATTAGGAAAAGACCTTCAATAAGATGAAATGACAGTGGCCTTGAGCATGGTGGAGATGATGAGGGTGATGAAGGAAGGGGCAGAGCTTTGCCTTATTGTTCATAGTGTCACTATGCGTGAGAATCGACTCCCAATACACAACAAGAAGTCTGTAAAGTCCAACACTGTTGTTATAGGCTGTCGAGTCACTTGTGACTCTGTGAGTCATAGTGACCCTAAGCACAATAGCTCTGAAACCTGCTCTATCTGTGTCAACCCTATTGTCTCTGACACACCTACCTACATAACCCTAGTCACTGAATCAATCCTTTTCATCAAGGGTCTTCCTCTCTTGCGCCATCCTTCCTCCCTTCTAAACATGATGTCACTCTCCAAGGACTGGTCTCTCCTTGCAACACACCTAAAGTATGTCAGTTGCAGCCTCAGAATCCTTGCCTCCAAGGAGCAGCCCGGTTTCACGCTCTCCAGGATGAACCTGTGTGTTTTCCTGGCAGTCCATGGTATATCCAATACTCTTCTCCAGTACCACACAGCTGAAAGGCATTAATTCTCTTTCTATCATCCCTCATCATTGTCCAGCTTTCTGATATATAGTAATTGTGAAGACTATGGCCTGGATCAGGTGTACCTTAATCTCTAGACTGCTATTGTTGCTCTTCAGTACTCTGGAGAGGTTTCTCAAAGCAGACTTTCCCAGAATCTTCTGATTTCTTGGTGCTGGTACTAAGAATGTTGATTTCAAAGCCAAGCAAATTAAAGTTGTTAACAATCTGAGTCTCTTCACCATCTATCATAATGGTGCCAATCGGTCCAGTGGTGAGAATCTTTGTTTCGTATTATTGAGCTTCAATCCATAATTAAGGCTGCAGTCCTTGACCTTCTCCACCAAGCACTTCAAGTCCTCCTCAGTTTCAGCAAGCAGGGTTGTGTCACCTGCACAACATAGATTGTTGAATATTCCACCAGTCCTGATGCCACACTTCTCATATAGCCCAGCCTCCCGGATAATTTGTTTCTCATATAGGTTGAAAAGGTGTGGAGATAGGACACAACCCTGGTGAACACTCTTCCCAGTTTTGAACCATGCAGTGTTTTCTTGCTCTGTTCTGATGACTGCCTCCTGATCCAAGTCTAAGTTTCGCATTAGCACGACCAAGTGTTCTGGGATTCCCATTCTTCTGAGTCAGCCACCGCTTGTTGTGATCCACACAGTCAAAGGCCTTTGCATAGTCAATGAAACACAGATAAACATTCCTCTAGTACACTCTGCTTTCAGTCAAGATCCATCTAACATTAGCTATAATATCCCTAGTGTCACAGCCTCTTCTAAACCCAGCCTGCACATCTGGCAATTCTTTGTTGACATGTTGTTCCAGTTGGTTTTGGGTAATTTTCAGCAGAATATTTCTTGCATATATTAATGATATTGTTCAATGATTTCCACGCTCTGTCAGGTCACCTTTCTTTGGAATGGGAAATACAGATCTTTTCCATAGGTTGTGTGTTTTGTTTTGTTTTTTTTAAAGTTTAATAGAAAATAGGTGCTGGATGAGCAGTAGCAGACAGAAGTAGGTAAGAGTGTGTGATTCTGTGCATATAAAGGAATTGTAAGGTCCCTGGGTTGTAACCAACAACTAACCTCAATACTGGCCTTTCACCTTCCACCTGGCCCCCTCCCGAGGCCATGGAGGACAGTGTAGTGGTCTCCTTCGTTTAGGATTCCAGCACAGCAGACCCTGTGAGCAGTTCCTTTGTGACATGAGGCCCCTGTGAGGCAGCATCCACAGTAGCTGACAGCCACAGAGAAGTCGTGCGGTTAGTCTTTCCTTTCATTGATATATACAAAGGCTTTGCTAAAATTATTGATCAGTGATATAAAGGATTTGCTAAAATGCGATTTGTACATTTCCATCTGCCCTGGTTTTAAATAGTCCTGCCTGCACAAACCAAACAGTAACCCACTTGCCTATTTTAAAAAATAGGTTCCAAACCTCTGGAACTGTACATTTTTAAAACTAGGACAAAGTTTTAAACTAGCTCTTGCAGGCTTTGGGCTGTGCAGGTTTGAAGGGGGTCCATGTTCTCTCCTGAGTCAGCTGGGTTGCGAAGCGGCACGGATGCTCCTTTTCAGTCTCTCTTTTGCACGGTTCCTGTGTGACACGAGTTCCTTCTCACCCATCGCTCAGCAGGCAGGCAGGGCCAGGTATGGGCAGGGACGATCAGCGGCCTGCGTGCTCGTGCATAGCTAGGGCCTGCAGATTGGCCCCAGCACTGGGAAGCCTGTTTGTAAGCAGCTTCCAAAGTCTTGGTGGTCCGGCACACCCACTCCTGGGTCACTACCAAACACAGCGAACGCTGCTGTCCACAGGCCGGGAGACCTTCAGCAGCCCAGACGCAAGTCTGGAAGCAGCTGGCAGGCGACACACAGAGGTTTACCTTCTACTACCCCACACCTGCTAGAGACACTGTTTGAACTGACAACATTCATAGACCCAGAGTGTGTCCAGTGAGGAAAGCTGGCCTGACCTGCAGCGAGGCCACAACATGCAGGGTGTGGCCTGTGGACAAAGGCCCGTTGTGCAGAGTGACGAGGCCAATGTCTCCGCAGGCACAGGAGAGGAAGAAGGGGCACTCAGCGCCCCCCCCCATGGGGCTCCTGCAGCAGGTGGGGCTCTGGGCTGGACAGCTGAGGACACTGTACCCTGTTCCATCTCACCGGGAGGGGGGTCTGCTGGCCTTGGGGACCTCAGCCACTGTGAGGGCGTGAATAACGGCTGGCTCAGAGGGGCAGCTACCACAAGCAGTTACAGAACAGGGCAGAACAGGGCTGGTGACAAAGGCTGACTCAGGAGGGGCCCACAGAGGTTACAGAGCAAAGCAGGGGCTTCTGTGACAGGGGACCACCCAGGAGGGGTCTTGCAGCCCAGTGCCACTCCATGTCAGCACGAAGAGGGTGGCACCAGCTTCAGGTCGTGACACGCCATGAACAATGCCAGCTGTTAGATTAGCAGCAGGGGTGCCCCCTCCTCAGCACCCACAGAAGCAGAGGTGCTTCACGTAAGGAGAAGACACTTCATTCCCTCGAACTCTGGGGCCCATCCTATGAGGAAACTGAGGGCTGGTTCCTCTGGGATCCAGTATGAGCTCTTGTAGGTATGTGCCCTTAGGCACAGTGGTCCTTCCCTCACCACTATTGTCTCAGGTGCGCTGTGTCCCTCCGCTCATCCTTGATGCCTCAGGCACGGTAGTCCCTTTCCCTCACCCGTGGTGTCCTGGGCACATGGTGGTCCCCTCCCCTCACCCCCGGTGTCCCGGGCACACGATGGTCCCCTCCCCTCACCCCCGGTGTCCTGGACACATGGTGGTCCCCTCTTCTCATCCCCAGTGTCCTGGGAACACGATGGTCCCCTCCTCTCACCCCCAATGTCTCGGGCACACGGTAGTCCCCTCCTCTCATCCTTTGCTCTCATTATCATGTCTCTGATCAGGTGGCAGCTCTGATTTCCAGAAAACAGGTAGCAGGTGGCCTCAGGAGGTGGACAGATAAACTTGAGGATGGGCAAATGGTCTCAGGTGGGGGACAGATGGCCTTGGGATGGGCATAAAGCCTGGAGATATGGACAGTCTTGGGAATAGACAGATGGCCTGAAAGTGGAAAGACAGTCTTGGTGGCGGACAGATGGTCCTGGGGATGGACGGATGGCCTTGAGGGTGGACATATCCAGGAAGGGAGAAGAAACATCTTGAGGGAAGACGTTTGATCTGGGGAGGCAGACAGACAGTATGCAGGTTGGGCAGACAGCCTGAGGATGGCGGGTCTGTGGCCAGAAGAGGTAGGCAAATGGCCTGTGGCCTGGCCAGTGTGCATCTCTATGACCATAGGTGCAGGTCTGTGACCCACCAGCTGAACCGTTCTCAGCAGAGACCCATTTCTAACACATTTATCTCTGTCCTGTGTTTCAGGAGAAAAGATGCTGGCTTCCTTTCCTACAAGGACCACCTGCCAGTCAGCCAGGTAGTGGTCGGCGACACAGACCGGCCAGGTTCTGAGGCCAAGCTGACAGTGGGCCCGCTGCGCTGCCAAGGAGACAGTAAGTGTGTGCTGTGTCCTGTGAGATGGGCTTGGGCTCTGTTGCCCTGTCCCTGAGGAGGGAGACCTGTGAGTGGACAGGTCCCTGCATGGGGTATGGACCCTGCATTTCTGTGACTCTGATGTGGAGTTAGTGCCACCTGTCACACTTGTCATGAGGACATGGGCCCCGGAAGCTCGGCACCCTCAAACCATGGCCGTGCCATTCGGAGCTATTTCTGGCACCATAAACTGGTTTTATGGGAGTGTACATTGTGGGATTATGACTTGATGTCTCATTGTAAACTTGGATGGCTGACGGCCATGTAAAGTCTCACATTGTTGCTATTGAAGCCCATCCTCATCATGACATTTGTTATTTTGTTAGAAGTTGTTTGTGTGTATGATACCACTTCTTTGAAATGTGTTGATACTTGTTCTCTGGCCTAGGATGTGATTAATGTTCATGAGTATTCTCGGTTGCTGATGAGGATGTTTGTTCTTGAAGGTTGGATGCTGGGGTTATTACAGGTGTGTCCTAAAGTCAGACATAGAGGGTACCATGTGGCAACACGAGGTGAGGTGGGGCAGGCAGGCCACCGATTTCCTGGTGCTGCCGTGTTGTCCTGCGTAACTACAAGGAACCCAGTTCAGCCTGGCCTTCAGGTGTGTTCTGATCACAGATGGAGGATCTGTCCATGTGGGAGCAAAAACCGTGACTTTTTCTTTAAGCTTGCTTTCTTGACTTATCACATTTAAATTTGTAGGCATGAAGTGTAAGAGCTTCAACCTTAGTTCCTATAATGGGTTCAGATGGTTATACCTGTAACCTGTACTCATGCACTAGGCCCGAGGTACTCAAGGTGGCCCATACCTGTCACCTATAGTCATATACTAGGCCCGAGGTACTCAAAGTGGCCCATACCTCTCACCTGTACTCCTGACCTGGGTCCCAAATGGTAAGACAACTTGTGTCTGTCCACCTTCCTCTTAAGTAGTTCTTCTTCTGATTTTTTTTAGTTATTTTTATTATTATATTGTTTAAAAATATTATTTTAACAAAAATTTACAAAAAGTTTGGGTTTTCATTCATTCATTCATGCACATTTTTCTTCTTCCCCTACCTTCCCCCTCCCCAAATTCACTCAGTAATGTACTTCTTGTTACAGAATATTGTCATACATGTAATGCCTAATCGTACGTTCCTGTCATACAGCCCTTTCCTTTATCTGTTCTAGTGCAGTGATTATTATCTACCCACTCTTCCTGTTTGCTCCCCTACCACCCATGGCAGTCCTGGTTTAAAACAGTGGTGTTAAACAGTATTTGTCCTTTTGCTACTGAGATATTTCACTCAGCATAATGTCTTCCAGACAAACTCATATTGTGTGTAATTTTACAACTTCACTATTTTTCATTTCTGACCAATAGTCCATTATGTCGACGTACCAGATTTCCAACCATTTCTTTCTATCCAAGGGCAGTTGGGTTGCTTCTGTCTCTTCACTGCAATGCAGCAATAAACATGGATGTCCATTTATCTGTATGTATCATGGCTTTGGTTTCTCTTTTTAATATATCTTAATGAACGTTTACAGAAAATTTGGATTTCCATTCATTCATTGTTGCACATTTTCCTCCCTAATGCTCCCTGCCCCATTGCTTTTCTCTTTAAAAAGATTCATTGGAGAGGTGGGGCAGGGAGAAAAAGGCAACAATGAATGAGTAGAAATCCAAAATCTCTGTAAATGTTCATTAAAAGTAATTTAAAAAAGAGTCATTGTTATATAATTTCCTCCCTCCCATTTCCCTGTCTCCTTTGCCACACACCTCTTGTTCTGGACTGTTGTCATGCAAATAATACCTAATCATATATTTCTTTTAGAGAGTTATTTCCCGTATCTATTTAAAAGCAATGTTTATTACTTATCTCCCCTTTTCTTAGTTTCTCCCAACCCCATGTCAGTCCAGTTTTATAACAGTGGCATTTTGCAGTGTTTGTCCTTTCATGACTGAGATATTTCACTCAGCATAATTTCCTCCAGAATCACCCATTTTGTATAATATTTTATGAGTTTCTTGTTTTTCAGTGCTGTGTAGTATTACATTGTGTAAATATGCCACAGCTTCTCTATCCATTCATTTGTTAATGGGAACTTGGGTTACTTCCATCTCTTTGCTATTGTGAACAATGCAGCAAATAAACATGGGTGTGCATATAAATGCTTGGATGCCAGTTCAGGTTTCTTTAGGGTATATTCCCAGCAGTGAAATTGCTGGGTCTAAAGGTATTTCTATTTCCAACTTTTTGAGAAAGCACCATACTGCCTTACAGAGTGTTTTACGTTCTCCACAACAGGGGGAAAGGGTTCCAAATTTTCCACAACCTCACCAGCATTTGTTGTTTGCTGCTTTGTTGAATTTTGCTATTGTTACTGGGTGAGATGATATCACATAGTTGTTTTGATTTGGATTTCTCTTAGAGCTAGGAATTTGAACATTTCTTCATGTGCTTGTTCACCATCTAAATGTCTTCATTGGTGATGTGTCTGTTCATAGACTGCGCCCATTTTTCAATTGACTTGTTTACCTTTATCTTGTTGTGGTGCACAACTATTCTATAAATTCTAGATATAAGTCCCTTATCATACATGTCATTACCAAATCTTTTTTCCCAGTCTGTGGCTTTCCTTTTTACCCTGTTGTAGAAGGTTTTTAGATGTGCATAGGGATTTGTGCCATACTGCAGTCACTTGTGGTTGCTGTGAAACTGAACACTGTGACAATGATGTGTCAAATGCGATAATGGTTACCTATGGACGGTGTTTGATAGAGCTCCCCAATTAAAACAGGCTTGGAAGCAGAAGTGGGATCCACTTCCATAATAGCTTGCCTCCGGAAATCCTATGAACCTGGAGAGAGGATGAAAGGCACCCAAGCATCGAGGACTCTCCTTCATAGGGTTGCTATGAGTCACCTGCAACTCGACAACAGTTAACAACAACATAGGGATTTGATTCTTAGAAGGTCCCATTCATCTATTTTCTCCTCTCCTGGTTGTAGGTTTTTTAGGATGCTTTGAAGACTGTTCATGTTGTGGATTAGGACTTCTGGAGTTCTTCCAAGCTTTTCTCTAATGAAGTTTGTAGTCCTTGGTTTTACTCCTAGGTCCTTGATCTCCTTTGAGTTGGTTTTTGTGTATGGTGTGAAGTGTGGGTCTTGCTTGAGTTTTCTACAGATAGTTTTCTAATTTTGCCAACACATTTGTTAAAAAGGCTGTTATTTCCCCACTTAACTGATTTCATCTCCTTGTAAAAAATCAGCTGACTATTTGTAGATGAGCTGATTTCTGGGCTGTCAATCCTATTCCATTGATCTTTGTATCTGTCATTGTACCAGTACCACACTGTCTTGACCACCACAGCTATGGAGAAGGATTTGAGATCAGGGAGTGAGATGCCTTCTATCTTTTTTCTCTCTTTATTTTAGGAATGCTTTACTTATTTGGGGTCTTTTCCCATTCCAAATGAAATTGGAAATTGCCTTTTCCATCTCATTGAAGAATGGAATTGGAATTTGTATTGGGATTACTTTGAACCTGTAGATTGCCTTTGGTAGAATTGTCATTTTCACAATATTGAGTCTTCCTATCCAAGAGCAATGTATGTTCTTCAATTTCTCCAGGTCTCTTTTTTGTTTCTTGTAGTAATGTTTTGCAATTTTCTTTGAATAAGTCCTTTGTTTTTCTAGTTAGATTTACTCCCAAGTATTTAATCTTGTGATTAGTTATTGTGATGGGCACTGTTTTTCTCAGTTCCAGTTCTGTGTTCTCATAGTCACTCTAGAGAAATCCAATTGATTTTTGTACGTTAACCTTGTATTCTACCACTTTGCTGAATTGGTCAGTAGTTTTCTCACTGAGTCTTTAGGGTTTCCTAAGTATACTATCAATTCATCTGTATATAGAGGTAAGTTTACCTCCTCTTTCCCAATTTGGATACCTCTTATTTCTTACTATTAACTTCCAATACAGTAGTGAATAGGAAAGGTGATAGTGGGCCTCCTTGCCTAATTCCTGTTCTTAAATCAAATGTGTTTACTCTCTCTCCGTTGAAAATTATGTTAGCTCTTGGTTTTGCATATGCACTTTTTCCTATGTTGAGGAAATTCCCCTCTAATCCTACTTTGTTGAGTATTTTAATCAGGAAAGGCTGTTGGACTTTTGTCAAAGGCTTTTTCTGCATCAATGGATAGGATCGTGTGGTTTTTGTTCTTTACTTTGATAATGTGATGAATTACACTGATTGTTTTTCTATGTTGGACCATCCTTGCATACCTGTTATGAATCCCACTTGGTCATGGTGAATTATTTTTTTGATGTAAAGTTGGATTCTATTGGCCAGGATTTTATTCAATCCCAATACAAATACTAATTCCATTCTTCAATGAGATGGAAAAAGACAATTTCCATTTTCATCTAGAGTGGAAAGATATTCCAAATAAGCAAAGCACTCCTGAAAAAGAGAAACAAAGTAGGAGGCATCCACTCCTTGATCTCAAATCTAATATTGCATAATGCCACTGTTGTAAAACAGGACTGACATCGGTGTTGGGGGAAACTAAGAAAAAAGGGGATGAGTGGCATCTGCTTCTGTAAATAGCTTGCCTCTGGAAACCCTACAAACCTGGAGAAAGGATGAAAGTCACGCAAGTGTTGAGGTTCATTCTTTTGTAGGGTCACTATGAGTTGCCTATGACTCAACAGCACACAACAACAACATAATGTACACTGCATTGGCCTAGTGGACAGAAAGTTATGCTACCAAGCCCAAGGTGGGTGATTTTAATCTGTAGCCCTCAGGCCTGGTTCAAATTGGGTTTTTTGTGAAACATTCCTCTAGGTGGTATAGCACTGGTCTGTGCATTGCTGTACAGAGGTTAACTCGTGGTTGCTTAACTAAACACTGTGACACTAGTGTGTCAAATGTGATAATGGTTACCCATGGTGGACAGTGTGTGGTG